TCCGGGAAGATCCCACATGCCGCAGAGCGGCTGGGCCCGTGAGCCATGGCCGCTGAGCCTGCGCGTCCGGAGCCTGTGCTCCGCAACGGGAGAAGCCACAACAGTGAGAGGCCCGCGTACCAAAAAAAAAAAAACGAACAACGAAAAGAGTCATGTACCAAAATGTTCATCACAGCTCTATTTACAATAGCCAGGACATGGAAGCAACCTAAGTGTCCATCAACAGATGAATGGATAAAGAAGATGTGGCACATATATACACTGGAATACTACTCAGCCATAAAAAGAAATGAAATTGAGTTATTTGTAGTGAGGTGGATGGACCTAGAATCTGTCATATGGAGTGAAGTAAGTCATAAAGAGAAAAACAAATACCGTATGCAAACACATATATATGGAATCTAAAAAAAAAGATAAAAATGGTCATGAAGAACCTAGGGGCAAGATGGGAATAAAGACACAGACCTACTAGAGAATGGAGTTGAGGATACGGGGAGGGGGAAGGGTATGCTGGGACAAAGTGAGAGAGTGGCATGGACATATATACACTACCAAACGTTAAATAGATAGCTAGTGGGAAGCAGCCGCATGGCACAGGGAAACCGGCTCGGTTCTTTGTGGCTGTCTGGAGGGGTGGGATAGGGAGGGTGGGAGGGAGGGAGACAAAGAGGGAAGAGATATGGGAACATATATACTCCAATAAAGACGTTTAAAAAAAAAAGTTTTAGAGGCAAGTCTCTCATCTTTTCTTTGGCTAAGTCAAAATAATCAAGAAATATTTACTAAATACTGATTATTATGTAGACATATTAGGAAGACTGAAGAAGACATATAAGACATGGTCCTTAAAAAGTTTGGCAGTCAGCACAGACTTAGCGAACTTATGGTTACCACGGGAGAAGGGTTGGGGGAGGGAGAGATTGGGAGCTTGAGACACTGCTATAATTAAAATAGATAACCAACAAGGACCTACTGTATAGCACAGGGAACTCTGCTCAATATTCCGTAATAACCTAAATGGGAAAATAATTTGAAAAAGAATAGATACATATATATGTATAACTGAATCACTTTGTACACTTGAGACTAACACAACATTGTTAATCAACTATACTCCAACATAAAATTAAAATTAAAAAAAAAGTTTGGGAGTCAGGACACATATAGTAGAGTGATTAAGAACTTGACTCTTGAGTCATATAGAACTAGGTTCAAATCCTAGCTCACTGTTTAGCAGTTGTGTGTCTTTGGATAAGTCATTTACCCCCTCTCTCTGCTATCTCAGTTATAAGATGGGAATAATAATAATATCTACTTCATAGGACTGTTGTGATAACTAAATGAGGAAACATGTGAATTTTCAGCCCAATGCCTACAACATACTATTTTTTAATCACTGTAAACTATTACTACACAGGAATGAAAGTTAATGAATGAGGAATGTTTCAAATAATGTGAATGAATTTAAACAAAGGAAAATAAAAGTTTCACTACTGAAACCCTTTCCTGATTATTAAAACATTTTCCTGGTTGTCTTACACAGCTGTTTCCTCTATCTTCTACTATTATCACCCTCGCCATTATCCTTCTTTCTATTATAAAACCCAACAACTCCAATGGCCTTATTTACTAGAAATTAAATTCCCAAATTTATATTTCTAATCCTAACCTTTAAGTCATCTTTTCTCAAGCATATTGGAAATCTCCACTCAGATTTCTCAGAGTGATCTCAGACTCACCAACAAACAAAAGAACAACTAAAGTTGATTATATCATGCTCCCCAAAGCTGGTTCCTTCTCCTGACTTTTCTTACTTCAGTCATATCACCATTTTCTTAATCTCTCCAACACACAGTTTCAGAAATACTAATTCCTCCTCATCTCTCGCCCTTCATTTATAATTGATTAAGTCCTACAGATCCTTCTTCCATGTCTTCTCCATTTGTTCAGCTTCCCCCAAATTTCCTTCTATTTCATGCTGAACACCACTATGAAGAGTTACCTTCCTAATGCATCACCTCAATCAATTCCATAATCCTTTGCAGAAAAGCCTTCTCCTTCTTCTTGTAAATAAGTGAAGTTCTGATTCTTACCCAGTAGTCATGTTAATTGTGCTGCAATAACTTTATTGGTCTTATTTCCTACGATTCTTTTATAGGAATAGTAGCACCCTTTATTGAACTCAGTGTTTTCAGAAAATGCATTATAGTTCCACTGATTACCCCCAACTTTCTTTAGCACCCAGTCTGAAGTAATTCTCCTCTATACTCATATAGAGAAATCAGTATTTGTACAATACATAAGACAATTTACATTTAAGTCTTGTTACTTGTATCCAGCTCTGATCACATTAGTTTTTAAACTTTTAAATGTTACACCATAAGCTAGTACTTGAAGGCAAAGTACCCTACTTTACAGACCATTCTATCTCCTATTATACCAGAAGAATGCATTATACATTCTTAGAGATACATCTAAAAAATGAATCTTATGGACCAGCCTATTACTTCAACCTCTCCTTGTAGTACCATTTCAAAGAGAAAGAGTGAAGTCTTCTGATGAGTCAGTGGTGAGAAGAAAGGTCCCTGTTCCAATACAGCATGAGCAACAAGGTCTCCTTGACCTAAAAGGTTTTCTTTCACATGAAAGAGGTATTTCATAGGAAAAGGCAGAGGGAGCAGAGTAACAAGCCCATTAGAAATGCATTCAAATGAAGTCTTATATAGAGCAGTGTTTGTTTTATTTTAAAACTGTTAATTTGGCCAATGGAAACATTTAAAACACTGCATATCTCAAGTTTCCAAAACCTTGTTTTGGCATTACTTCATTTTTTAATATACCAGATTAAAAAAACAGGAATAACTTGAGACTTCTGACCTTTATAATCTTGCACAGAATATCTCAGAGATATAACTTTCAAATAGGTGAGAACTCTGAGAACAGTGAGTATATCTTTTACTTTTAGCCTATTAGGTATTTAATAATTCATTATCTAATATATTAGTCCATTTCTAAATAACAGCTTTAACGCAAAGTGAATTCACTGTATTCCTGATTTCTTCTGCATATTTCACTTGAATGTGAAATGTGTAAAAAGAGTGCTTTGTAGTTATCACATAAAAATTTTCATCTTCATCCTTTCTACTAACCCTTTCCAGATAGTCCAGATTTAAAGCTTCTTTACTAGAACCACTTCCCATTCCATCTGAACCCATCATGCAATCACTTGAAAAGATCAGTGGTCTAGGATCTCAGGCTTTGGCCAAATCAGTTTTGTCTTCTGTAAAGTCATTTTCATTAACATCTTATTACAAATTTGATTACATAATAATGGAGTTACAAATGAAAAGTCATAATGTTTGATATTATAAGCACGGCTAAAGATTAAAATGATTTTGCTTCAGAAATGTAGAGTTTATGACAAGGATCTCAATTAAATATTAATGAACCATTAACTGTACTATTTGGAACACAACCATATTTCCACAATTTGGGCATTTTCCTTCAGATATGCACTCAACAGTCACATTCATAAGCTAAAGCTGAGCTAAGAGCTCTATAGTTAAGTCAATATCAAAATATTTGAGTCATTTGGGTAAGATTACTTAAAAAGGCAGTGTTTATTCACTTATGATTTCACTTAAGATGGAGGGTATTAAGCTGGTATAAGCAGGAAAAAATGCTTAGAGAACAAAAATAAGAGCATGATAAACTAACATTCTCACCAAATTATTGGTCCATAAATATTTGAAGAAACCAGTAGTTGTTTATATAAATAAAACATCAATAACGTGCTAAAAAAGAGTCAGAAAGTTAACAAAGTAAATATAAAAGGTTAGGCTATTTGCATTAGAAAATAAAGTCCCTGTTGGATTCTACTTTCTTCAAGTATTATAAAAATATACAAATTTTTACAAATACCAGAACAATCATTTGAATTAATTAATATGAAAGTTACTAAGGCAATTATCCCAAATTAAATCCTAGGGGCTTAAAGAACAGTTGATAAAACTAAACTGTAACCATTTAATGTTTTAAAAATGCCGTGTGTGAATTAGTCTGTTATAATTATGAAAAAGGTGAAAGCACATCTTCAGCTTGTAAAATATTCTCCAGGCTTTCTGTTTCTTAAAGTAATCACAAATACAGCAATTTTGATCTTAGAAAGGAACATCGATAGCTAGTGAATGAGTTTCTTCAGTTCTTTAAGGACCAACTGTCTTAGGAGACAATAACATTTTCTTTTCTTAGAAAGAAATATCAGCTTCCAATGCAACTGTGTAAAAGCTGATATGGAATATTTGATGGAGTTAGAGAAAAGAGGAAAATAGCAGACAACACAAAAGCACAGACCAGTAATAAATATTCCTCCTGGAATTCATACCAACTTGACTATATGGCCAAAAATTACCCACAAAAACAGATTTAAGAGAGTACTCACCACTGAATTACTTCTGTGATTTGAGCTTCCCAATGTGCAACGGATTCCTTCTTGTCTGCTAGATCTTTTACCTCTTCTTCTAACTGCTGGTTGCATGTACTTAAGTTCTCATACAAAGTGGTAAGCTGAAAGGCAGTTTTAAGGTACTTAAAGACGTGTGACTTTTAGGAACAGGAATTCAAGGTGTTCACATGCCTCTTGTTAAATCTGATAACTCAAAAATGCTTGTCTTTCTGATTTCCTATTATGATGCACCCTCTGGCCACTGAATGTGGAAACATCAAGTACTCTGAATTCTCCTTCTGCCCTTGCTTTTCCCATTCTCCCCATATTGAATTGGTTCCATCTGTGAACATTCTCCATTTGCCTGAAGAACTCCCCAGTTCTGTTGGTAACAGCATCTCTCATTTTTTTGTCCAAAAATATCTCTATGTCATCCTCTTTTTAAAAAAACTTATAATTTCAAGCATATACAAAAATGAACAGAAGAGTATAAGTGAATTCCCATGAGCCCACCATCACTAACTTCAACAATTATCACCTCAATGTCAACCTTATTTCATTTGTACTCCTGTCTTCTTACCCTTTCCTCCGGTATTATTCTGCAGCAAATACCAGACATCATATAATTTTATCCATATATATTTCTGTGTATATCCCTAGAAAATAAGGCTCCCTTTTTACGTATAACCACAATATCATTATCATATTTAAACAAATTTAACAAGTTTCCTTACATTATCACATAGCTAGTAATTGTTTAAATTTCCACTTGTTTCAAAACATCAAAAGACTTAACAGTCTGTTAAATTGAATCATACCAACAAGTAAACGTAACTTAATGGTTGCTCTATCTTTTAAGTCTTTTTTACTTATGGGCTCCAGATTACTCCATTTGGGCTGCGGTAGTGGAATATCACAGTCTGAGTGGCTTAAAGAAACATTTATTTCTGATAGTTCTGGACGCTGCCAAGTCCAAGATCAAGGCACCAGCAGATTCAGTGTCTGGCAAGGGCCCACTTCCTGGTTTACAGATGGTTGTGGGATGAGGGAGCTCTGTGGGGTCTCTTTTATAAGAGCACTAAGCTTATTCATGAAGGCTCTACCTTCATGACCTAATCATCTCCCAAAGGCTATACCTCCAAATAGTACTAGGTGTCAACATCTGAATTTTGGAGGGACACAAACATTTAGTACATAGCAGTTCCCCTCCAACACTTTAATTTTTCTTGTAATTTATTTGTTGAAGAAAGTAGGTTGTTTGTCCTGCAGAGTTCTCTACAGTCTGAATTTTTGCCTTCATCTTTGAAAGACACTTTTTGCTGTATCTAATTTTCTAGATTGGCAGTTATTTTCCTTTCTATTCCTTTTTATTATTTATAGATGTCATTCCTTTTTATCCTGGGTTCCATTTTTTTCTGTTGTAAAGACAGCTTTAAGTTTAGCTTTTGCTCCTTCGAATACAATGTGTCTTTCTTCTCTGGCTGCTTCTAGGATTTTCTTTGGTTGGTTGGTTTTTAGCAATTTTTCTATAATGTGCCTAAGGGATTTAATTTCTATTTATCACTTTTAGGGTTTGTGGCATTTCTTGAATTTGTGTCTAAATACTTCTCAGAGGTTTTGGAAAATTATGGGCCATTAACTCTGCAAATATTGCTTCTACCACAGTCTCTCTCCTCTCCTTCTGGGAAAGCAAATATTTGTATGTCATCTTTTCATCACGTCCCCTATGTCTCACATCCACTTTTATGTATTTCTGTCCTTTTTTCTTAATATATCTTTTAAAATTTATTATTTATTTATTTTTGGCTGCGTCTGGTCTTAGTCGCGGTGCACGGGATCTTTGTTGTGGTGCATGGGCTCTCTAGTTGTGGCATGCAGGTTTTCTCTTCTCTCGTTGTGGCACGTAGGCTCCAGGGCACATGGGCTCTGTAGCTGTGGTGTGCGGGTTCCAGAGCACATGGGCTCTGTAGTTTGTGGCACATGGGCTCTAGTTGAGGCATGCAAGTAGTTGTGGCATGCAGGCTTAGTTGCCCCATGACATGTGGGATCTTAGTTCCCTGACCAGGGGTCGAACCAGCATCCCCTGCATTGTAAGGTGGATTCTTTACCACTGGACCACCAGGGAAGTCCCTGTATTTCTGTCCTTTTAAATCTATATCCAGACTTCAGTATGGGAAGTTTTTTATTTACCCCTTCCTTTCTTTGGTTCTTTCCAATCTACTGTTAAAATTTTCTGTTGGGATTTTTCATTTATTTTATTTTTCACTTCTAAAGATTTACTTGACTGTTTTGTATAGATTCCAGTTGCCTGCTGAAATTCTTCATCATGTTTATCTTCTTGAATATATCATAGTTATTTTAAAGTTCAATTAAGAAAATTCCAATACTCAGAACTGTGTGGGTCTGTTTATACTGACTGCCTGGTTTTCTTCTCATTTATTTTTTCTTACTTTGTTTTTGCTATTATACTTTTATATCTTGGTTTTCTTTGGTTGTATCTGTTGGTATGCATTGTAATTTCTTACTGCATGCCACATATAGTGTATGAAAATTTTAGAGATAATTTGAGGCTCTATATAATATCTTCCTCCAGAGACTGCTTACTTTTACTTCTGGTAGGCAATTAGACAGATCATGGATTCAGTTACTTAGAGGCCGGGTTTCAGTCACTGAGAGGGCTCGTCTCTCTTTGGTTCACCCTTATTTCTAAAATGTAGCCTTTTCGATGAGTTCAATTGAAAGCTTGAATTGATTACCAAGGATCCTGCACCTTGGTGGGCATTGATATTCAGTTTTTCTCTCTAAACTTGTGATACTGTGGAATACTGTGCTCAACTTCCTGGATTCTCTGCTACAGCTTTCATATCTGCAAATGCCTCAAGAGGAAAACTGGCACTGAATGCTGGGCTCATCTCTCTGTACTACTCCTTTCTAAAGGATCTGGGTCAGTAAAGTCTCAGCTGTCTTCTTATCTCTCCAGTGCCTTCCTGCAGATGAATACTTCCAGGCAGTATTGCTACAGTATTAAAAACATTTTTTTTAAAAGTCCAGCTTTATAGCTCTTCTTGGTGAGGTGGTAGGTATGATGTAAGCTAATCTGTCACAGAAGCAAAAATTCTTGTTTATTTAGTTTTTAAAAGTTCATGATAAGATATTTGCATACAATTTTTATTTCATGGCTTCATTTTTCTGATAAATGGTCTCAATATGCCATTAGTTATTACTATTCCTTTCTTCCTTTCTGATATATTTGTAGAGATATTGTGTTAGTTTTCTTTCTGATTACTCAGCTTGAAGGAGACGAATTTTTCCTACAAGAATTATTTATAGGTTTGTGAAGATGAGGGGCCATGTGATGGTTAAATTTATGAGTCAACTTGATTGGGTCATAGGGTGCCTAGACATTTGGTCAAACATTCTGGTTGTGTCTTTGAAGGTGTCTCTGGGTGAGATTAACATTTGAATTGATTGACTGAATAAAGCAGACTACCTTCCTAATGTGGATGGTTCCCATTCAATCAGTTGAAGGCCTGAATAGAAAAAAAGGCTGACCCTAGTAAGAGGGAACTCCTGCCTGACTTGCTTTCAAGCTGGGACACTGGATTCTGTCCTTGGTCTCTTACTGAAACAGTGGCTCTTCCTGGGTCTGACATAAGAAACTATTGCTATGATTTACATCAGAGAATGTTTTGCCTATGTTCTCTTCTAGGAGATTTATGGTACTATGTCTTAATATTTAAGTCTTCAAGCCATTCTGAGTTTATTTTTGTGTATGGTGTGAGGGAGTGTTTTAACTTCATTGTTTTATATGCAGCTATCCAGCTCTCCCAACCCTACTTGCTGAAGAGACTGTCTTTTCTCCATTGTATATTCTTGCCTCCTTTGTTGAAGATTAATTGACCATAGGTGTGTGGGTTTATTTCTGGCCTCTCTGTTCTGTTCCACTGATCCATATGTCTGTTTTTGTCAGCCAATACCAAGCTGTTTTGATTACTGTAGTTTTGTAGTATTGTCTGAAGTCTGGGAGGATTATGTCTCCAGCTTTGTTCTTTTTCCTCAGGATTGCTTTGGCAATTCTGTTTTATGTTTTTTGTTGTGGTTCCATATAAATTTTAGGAATATTTGTTCTAGTTCTGTAAAAAATGACATGGGTAATTTGACAGAGATCACATTAAATCTGTAGACTGTTTTGGGTAGTATGGCCATTTTAACAATATTAATTCTTCCAATCTAAGAGCATGGGATATCTTTCCATTTCTTTGAATCATTTTCAATTTCCTTTATCAATGTTTTATAGTTCTTAGCATATAAGTCTGTCACCTCCTTGGTCAGGTTTATTCCTAAATTTGTTTGTATTTTTATTGATGCGATTTTAAAAGGGATTGTCTTTTCACTTTCCCTGTCTGAGATTTCATTGTTAGTGTAAAGAAATGTAACTGATTTCTGCATGTTAATCTTGTATACTGCTACCTTGCTGAATTCATTTACTGGTTCTAGTAGTTTCTGTGTGGAGTCTTTAGGGTTTCCTATATATGGTATCATGTCATCTGCATACAATGACAACTTTACCTCTTCCCTTCCAATTTGGATACCTTTTATTTCTTTTTCTTGTCTTACTGCTGTGGCTAGGATTTCTAATACTATGTTGAACAGAAGTGGTAAGAGTGGGCATCCTTGTCTTGTTCCAGATTTTAGCAGAAAGGCTTTCAGCTTTTCACCTTTGAGTATTATGTTGGCTATGGGTTTGCCATAAATAGCTTTTATATGCTGAGGTATGTTCCCTCTATACCCACTTTGGAAAGAGTTTTTATCATGAATGGATGTTGAGTTTTATCAAATGCTTTTTCTGCATCTATTGAGATGATCATGTAATTTTTGTCTTTTCTTATGTTGATGTGGTTTATCACACTGACTGATTTGCATATGTTGAACCATCCATGTAACCCTGGGATGAATCCAGCTTGATCATGGTGTATGATCCTTTTTATGGTTGTTGGATTCGGTTTCCTAATATTTTGTTGAGGATTTTTGCATCTATATTTATCAAAGATATTGGCTTGGAATTTTCTCTGCCAATAAACTGGACAAACTAGAAGAAATGTACAAGTTTTGCCAACTCCCTAATCTAAGTTCATCTGGAATTCTCCTAATGACCCAGGTTTTTTGTGGTGTGTGTGTACTTCCATGGGAGATAGGCAGTTTTAGCACAAGTCACAATGCAAAGCTTCATTTCTTCCCCTCTGCCAAAAGACAAATTACTTTATGCATTCCCCATTTAATCCTATCCTCAACCTCATTGTCTTCTTAGAAAGAAAATGGGTCAGAGAACCTGTCACTACCAACGCACATCGTTATCTGCCTATGGAGAACAAGGAACTTATGTTTTGAACTCCAGGGTGTGCTATTTACCTCTAAAAATGTATTTTACCAGCTATTTTCTTTTTATAGGTTTATTAAGGTATAATTTACATACTATAAAATTCACTCATTATAACACTTATGGTTTGATGATTTTTAGTAAATTTAAACATTTGTGCAATAATCACCACAATCTGGTTTGGGAACACTTCCAATACCTGAGAAATTTCCCTCAAGCTGGTTTGCAGTCAATCCTGGCTTCCACCATGAGTTCTAGGCATCACTGATCTATTTTCTGTGTCTATAGTTTTGCCTTTTCTAGAAACGTAATATGAATGAAATCATACAATATATAGTTTTTTGTATCAGGCTTTTTTCACTTATCGTATTATTGAGGTTCAACCACAGTGTTGCACATATCAGAAACTAACTCCTTTTTATAGCTGGGTAGTATTCTATTACATGGATATTAGTACACTTTATTTATCCGTTCACTACTTGATGAACATGTGCACTGTTTCCGGTTATTTGCTATTATGAATAATGATGCTATGAACATTCATATACAAGTTTCTAAAGGGACTATGTTTTCAATTCTTCTGGATAAATATCTAGGAGAATTTCCGAGTTATAGGCTAAGTGTATGCTTAACTTTTTGAGAAATTTCAAAACTGTTTTCTGAAGTAGTTATACCATCTTGCACTTCTACAAGCAGTGTAGGAGTTTCAGTTCCTCCATATCCTTGCCAACAGCTGGTATGGTCACTGACTGATTAACCCTTGAGCCTGTGCAACAATATGTTACTATGGTTTAACTTACATTGTTCCTAATGACTAATGATAGTGAACATCTTTTCACGTGCTTATTTGTTATTCATATATCTTCTTTCATGAAATGTCTTTTCAACTTTCCCCCAGTTTTTTTCCACTGGGTTGTTTGTATTATTTCTTATTATTGAGTTTTAAGAGTTCTTTATACATTCCAAATATGTCTTTTATCAGATAAATTATTTGAAAATCTTTTCTCTTCATCTATATATGTCTTTTCATTTTCTTAATGTTGTCTTTAAATTTTGATGAGGTCCAATTTATAATTATTTTTCTCTCAAGGGTTGTGCTTTGTGTCATATCTACAAAATCTTTGACTAACGCCAAATCACAAAGATTTTCTCCTATGCTTACCTCATATTTCAGTTTATGATCCACTTTGAATTAATTGTGTATGTTATGAGGTAAGGATCTAAGTTAATTTTTTACACATAGATATCCAATTATTCCAGCACCATTTGTTGAAAAGATTGTCTTTTTCCCATTGAATTGCCTTGGTACTTTTGCTGCAAATCAATCAACAATAAATATGACGTCTTATTTTTGGACTCTCTACTCTGTTCCATTATGCCAATGTTACCATCTTTTGATTACTATAGATTTACAGTAAGTTTCGAAATTCTGTACTGTAAATCCTCCAACTTCTGTACCCCTCGCCTCCCTGCCCCGCGCCAAATATTTTTGCTATTGTAGATCTTCTGTATTCCCATATAAATTTAAGGATAGGCTTGCCAGTTCTAACAAAAAAGCCTACCAAAATTTTGATAGTGATTTCCCCAAATCCATAGATCTATTAGGAGAGAACTGCAGTCCTAACAATATGCAGTATATCTCTCCATTTGTTTAGATATTCCTTAATTTATCTCAGTAATGTTTTGTAGTTGTCTTCCTTTGGTTAACTCTGGGAGCTCTGAAATGTCTGTTTTCAACAACTGTGTCCACTCTGAAACTTTTTTTTTCTTGAGCGGATTCATCAATCTCTTCATGTTAGCATAGCCAGAAGTCTACCAGCTATTTTGGAGAATGATTTTTGCAGATGCAGTGTCTTCACTAATTCCTACAACACATCCTTTTCTGATCACCATTGCTTTTGACTTACAATCTGTGATTGGGGTTTCAGTTGGAGATTTGCAAGAAGAGGCGGAAATACAAATTTTTGCAGTCATGTTACAGTAGTTAAAAGGAGTCTTAAATAGATGTGTTTAGTATTTGTCAGGAAAAGTTAATCTTTTCATTCTTACTGAATTAAAGCACAGGGGCTCTGGAGCCAGACTACCTGTGTTCCAATCCCATCCTGCCACTCCCTAGTTTTGAGATTACAAGAGTAGCTTAATCTCCCTTTGCCTCAATTTCCTCATCTGTAAAATGGTAGGAACAATAGGGTATACCTCACAGAGTTATTGTGAGAATTATATGGTTTATATAAAGTAACTCAGGAGAGGGCCTGCACAAAGTAAATTCTACCTAAGTATTACTTCATTTTGCATGTTTGGGAATGAGAAGGTTTTACTATTTGTAAATTGACATATCTGGCTTATGATAATTATAAGACTACACAGGAATATGGAAAAATGCTCATGTTTTAAATGAAACGGCAGATTAGAAAATAAAATGTACATATGACTGAAATTATGTAATAATACATATACAACAAAACCTGGAAAGGAACATATAAAAGTAAAATAGTTGTTTCATGTTAATGAAATCATAGGTAACTTTTATGTTGAATATTTTCCACATTTTGTGTAATTTTGCTTTTATGTAAAATAATTATTTAAAAACAAGATACAAATGATAATATTTTCTTACTGGAAACCATTTACTTCCACTCCTTGGCATATATGGCTAATTTTACTTGCAATAAGTTACCTTTAATAGAAACTTTGAATACAGACTTCTGAAAATATCAACAAACTTTTTTCTATTTCCTTTTTAATTTTTATTTTTGAAGTTAAAAAATCTGACTATGAGACTCTATTAGTTATATAAGTTTCAAAATTAACATACTAATTGCTTTTTGGTTTCTATATCTCAAGTTCTGTTGAGAAGGAATTCGGTTCTCTTCAAGCAGGTTCCCAATGGAACAGTTGGTGTAGCAATGGCAAAGGTATTCTTTGGTTATCCCTCTTGGGGAAAATACCCAATTCAACCAAACCAAAAAATGAATAAATGGAAAGAAACAGTGAAGATGTGCAGTTAGGTGGACTGACAGAGAAGTAAAGCTGAATAAAAGGAGCAAAAATAGAGAAATGGTTCAAATGGAAGAAGACCCAGATCCTCCCCTATTTCTCCAGAAATAAACATTTCCTTGTTATCATTTGTCACTGAATACTTGCCAACCATATGATTTGCTCTCAAAGTTCTGTTCACATCCTTTACCACATCTCTCAATTTAGCAAGACAAGGTAATATTCTATTTTCTATAAAATTAGGAGATAGGCTTTTATTTTTATCCTTCAGATCTCATCAAAATCAAAAGAGTATTGTTTAAAAATTATTTCTAAAGATGTACTTCTGGTAAACTTGCCAGAACTTTACGGTTAATAATGAAATGAAACCAAGGGGTGAATACAAGATTTGATCTACATTCGATTTGATTATATCACAATTCAATTTTTCTCTAACTACAATACCATCTTTTACTAGGTAATTTGCTTATAAACTCTACATGAAGTGACCTTCTAGAGTTTAATTATATTTCTTACCTCAAGGTCACTCTTAACAGAATCTTAAAATTCTGTCTGGTAGACAGAAATGATGTTTAATTTTGTAGTCATATTGGTTAAGCCCATTAAATAACAGTTATGTGACCTATTTGGATAAAGTTTAAATACTGTGAGTTTTATTTTAGTGGAAATAACTAAGAGTTATACAATAATGTTCATACAGTATTCATAGTTAAAAAAATAATTTATACTACTTACTATTTGGCCACTTTCCACAGTGTTTGTGTGCATCAGCTTTGTAATTACAAAATAAACTAACAGAGTTCTTTCTCAAGTAGTTTGCAACCAAACAAGCAAAGTCATTTTTAAATGCTTAGAAAACTGAATAACCATTGGGAAAATAGTGACAGAAATAAAAAGAAATATGGAACACAATGGAAAATTGAGATAGAATGAATGAAAAGTCTCTCTTTTATGACTATTTAGCCATTGTCTTTCAATGTGTTATTGAAATGACTATTAATTGAACATAATACTTTTACTGCAGGAAAATCCTTGAACTCATTACAAAGCACAATTATCCAAACCTTATTATTTAAAAGTAAGTAAAACTATTAAAACTGCTGATTAATATTAGGATTTTACAGCTGTTCACAACTGGGACAAGAAATGCAGAATGATGTCAGTTCAAGAAATCTGAGATACTAAATGGAAAAAGATTCCTTTAAGTATTTAAAATTTTGTTCATAAATCTAGCTGTTTTAATCTAGGTTTAATCTATGGTTCAGCTCTTTATTCAAGCTGTAGAGTTTATAGGCAGAGTTGGTTTCTTTGGCTTCTTAACTACCAATGGTATTACTTCTAGCTATTATCAGTTCTCCATCATGAATATGACATTAGAACTGTCAAAATTTCTCTAGTTTGGCTCAGTTGTTCCTGTTCTTGCCAAAGACAGGCCTTAGCTTAGCCATGACAAAGTAAGTGATTAATAGTAAAAGAGAGATGGAAAGTGAAATAAAGAACAGGGGCTCAAAAAATAAATGGGACAAAGAATAAGACAAGGTAAGCCAAGTCCTCTCTCCAAGAAGACTCCTGTACAGATTGGTAAAATGAAAAATTGCCTGTACATAGAAGCAATCCTCGTGTTTAGGAGGAATATTAAATAAAAAAATGTACACCAAATATAAAATTATATCTATAATTGCTATGATAGTGCTGAACATCTAGCATGTATCAATGAATATCAATGAGATTAAATCACTCACCTTATCAAGCTCACTTGTCAGTTTTTTGTTTTCTTCCATTAGTAACACTTTTTCTCGTTCATACTGTTGTTTGAACTCATTTTCAAATTCTTCCCTTTCACTTTGACTAATACGATGCAAAAATATAAAAGGAAAAAAGAATTGAATTAAAGGTAAAATAATGGTATCTCAGATTGGCTATTGTATCATATGCCTTATTCTGAAAAGCTACTTATATCTCAATTGCTCCAAATCCCAAACATTTCCCTTAAAATTGGGAAGTCAAAATCATTTCCTTTTAATTAATAAATAGATTTGTCTGCTTAATAATGTCTATTTTGTTCTTCATTTGAAAATCTGAGGAAGACAACCTGATTATGCTCACCTTATTCAGTTGTAAATATCCTAGAAAGCATGGGGAAATGAGGAAGCTAGGGAAAAAGGAGGGTATAGGGACCACAATACAATTGCTTACACTCAGCTCTAGATTGCATAGAAAATTCAGCTCACATTTCCAACAGTTCTCTCAACACACTAAGCCCATCCTTCCATTACTCCTGCCTTCCTTCCTCCCTACGTACCTACCTATCTACACATACATACATACATACATACAATATTATAAAACTTATTTAAAATGATAGTTCTAAGGGACAGAACTGATTCACCCTTAGGGGTAAACACAGTTCTAACGAACTTTTAAAAAACCTCCAAAGGGAGGAGTCTGGGAGGCGGCACCGCAGGGGACAGAGAGACAGACGTGCTCGAAGGCCAGCGCGGAGGCCGCGACACTGGCGCTGCCCCGCCCGCTGCTTTGGCAGCGCTCTGCGTGACGAGCGCGGCTCAAGAACACCACGCTGGCCCCGAACGTGACTACACCCTCGGCTTTACCGACTACCACCAGGACAGCCCCAGTGCCGCCGCCGCTCCGCCGGGCACCACTCCAGCACCAGAAATCTCTGAAAGCCGCAACAACGGGGTTTCCTGTTTTGATGCTAATGCTGCTAACACTACCTGCTTTTGCATAAAATGCAAAGGTAATGGCTACTGTTCAGATAATTCAACAGTTCGTGATTGCAAGGTGGTGAAGAGCACAGAATTCTGTCCTGCGTCCACCGCCACACCATTGCCAAGCAACTCTACAGCTAAAACCACAACTCTGCCTTCCGCTTCTACAGCTTCCAGCACAACTACTACATCAGGTACAACTGATAGCTCTTTAACTCCGACTTCACAACCTGCGCCGAAGGCTACCTTTGATGCCGCCAGTTTCATTGGAAGAACTGTCCTTGTCTTGGGTGTGCAGGCTGTAATTTTCTTTCTCTATAAGCTCTGCAAATCTAAAGAACGAAAACCACCACACTCTGTAAACAGACCCGCTAAATTAACAAGAACTGGTGTGTAACCCACTGAAACCAAAATATTATCTTTCAAGATGTCCCACATGGAAGACGCTATTCTAGGATCTTTAAGTTTTCAAAGGATGCATGCAGGAGCACTGCCCTTGAAGAAAAATCAGTTAAATCATTTTGCTCAACAGGCATATTTAAAATATTCTGCACGAATCCTTGTGGCTGTCTTCTTTTATTTTAAATGTCTGCTGCTGTGGGATTGTGTCCTCTCTTCTTGACATGCCAAATGTGACTCTGTAAGTGATGGAAAACATTGTCCTGCGCAGACAACCTCATGACCCTTTTGGCGATTTCAGTGTAGTCATTTCAAAGCCTGAAAGCTGCATTATTTTCATCCTAACTCAGGATTTAGTTTAGCGACCAGAATTGAGAAGAACGTGCCAAATGAGCATCAATCAGGTGGATTTGGGGCTATCATTTCAAAAGTGGAATAAATTTATAAATTTAGTATCCTTAGAGTAAAATTTAGTGTTTGATAAGTTATTTTTTCTACATTAGAAAACAGATGCCACACAGGGAATTACATTCCAGATTTAAAGAAATCAATGGAAAGGATACCAAAACATTAAAGTGTAGCAGGTTATTGTTCATACTTGTAAAGCACCTTATATCATTGAGAAAATAAAAAACAGTGTCTTAAAAGACAAAAAGACAAAAAAAAAAAAAGAAACAACAACAAAAACCTCCTACGGGAGAAAGGGGAATCAGTTTTTGAATACTGAGTTGAAGTGCAAATAAAGAGGCTTATCTCTACAGCAGTTTGATGGAGGATGTTAGTTAGCAGCAAATGAATTTCAATGTGAAGCAGTTCTGGGTAATTTTATGATCGCTTCCAAGTCAATAAACAACATAAGTAACGGCTGATTTTAAAAATGTAATCTTAAAAATCCCTTCCTCACTAAATTATTGAATATAAATTAAATTATAATTTAAATGATAACTTCTAGGAAAATAACCATCCTGTGTCCAAACAAATGTGTCCCTTTCCTTCTTATCTATAATCAAAATGTGAAATTTAGTTATGTTTAGGAATCTTTCTTTCTTTTTTTTTTTTTTGCGGTACGCGGGCCTCTCACTGCTGTGGCCTCTCCCGTTGCGGAGCACAGGCTCCGGATGCGCAGGCTCAGTGGCCATGGCTCACGGGCCCAGCCGCTCTGCGGCATGTGGGATCTTCCCGGACCGGGGCACGAACCCGTGTCCCCTGCATCGGCAGGCGGACTCTCAACCACTGCGCCACCAGGGAAGCCCAGGAATCTTTCTTGATTCAGAAGCAACTCCAAACAACAAACAACAATGAAAAAAAAACGAAAAATGACAAAGAAGCACCCTTTCAGAAAAATAAGTATATGAATAAACTGAGTAAAATTTCTATATACAACCATTTTTGTTTTTTCCTATTAGTGTTAAACAGAACTTAAGTCTCTCGCATACTGAAACGAAATAAACAAACTCTCCCCTAAACTCTACGTCACACTTCATTTTCCACTTTCCTTGTCTTCCCATTCACTGGCAACCACCTTGAAATCTTGACAGTTTACCGTATCCACTTCCTCACTGCCTAAATTTTCCTCCCTGTGCCAAAATCTGACTTCTGCTGCCACCACCTCAAAAAAACTGTTGTCCCAAAACTCATTATTGTCTCAACTGTTATTATATCCAATCTACTGGCTACCTTTGACAGTGTTGTCCATTCCCTCCCTCTTGAAATGCTGTCCTCCCTTGGCTTCAGTGATACCCACTTTCTTGATATTCAGCCTACATTTAGACTTTTCAGCTGTATTTGTAAGTCCCCCACCCCCTCTTTCCTCCACGTAAATGCCAATGCTCCCAGGCATTTTGTCACAGGTGCTCAACTTTTTTTTTTTTTTTTACACATTTTCCCTGAGCTATCCCATCTATTATACCACCTATTTCAATTATTATCCATTACGCTGAGAAACTCTGAATCTACATCTGAAGCTTTTCTGGGCTTCAAATTGCTGACTTGATATCTCCCCAAAGTTGTCTCCCAAGCACCTCAAATTCAACATGCCCAACCCTAACAACAGAAAAACAAGTTCCCAACACCCCATGTACCTTCCCCTGTGATCATACACTCTACTTAATTCTTCTCTTAACACAGGAGAAAAACGTAGCTAAGGTTGCTCTTTGCTTATGCGCCTGCTCAAGTACTCTTTTCTCCTCTCTGTCCTGAATCATCTACTGGTACTTTCTATCAGATTACAAGCATGGTGTTATTTTTGAGACAAATTTCTCCTCCAGTTATTATCTCATTGCTTTTATTATCTGCTTGTTCTTACAATTGTTCTCCTTCAAGTCTTTGGATCCATTATGGGGTTTCTGCCCACTACTGTTCCACTGAAACTGTTCTTATCAAAGTCACCAATGACATTTATATTGTTAAACTCAACTGTCAATTACATGGCCCTCATCTTATTTGATTTAGACCTCATCTAATTTAACATGTAGACAGATTTGATATGCATTCATCATAACACCAAATTTGGACACCAAATTTGCCTGGTCATCTTCCTATCATTCTTACCACTCTTTCTCTCTCCACTTTGCTGTTTCTTTCTCATTTCCAAACTTCTAAAGATTGGAGTGCTCCAGGTTGCAGTCCTAGGACTTCTTTTCCATCTATATTCATTCACTAAGTGATCTCATATAGTCTCACCCCTTTAAATATCATGTGAGTGATATATACTCCCAGGATTTTATCTCTAGCCCTGAAATCCAGACTAGTCTGTATGATGACCTACTTGACATTTCCACCTGGATGCCTAAAAAGCACCTCAAACAGAATTTGTTTAAAATGAGCTCCTGATATTCCCATCCCCAAAATGCTTCTTCTGTGGTTTTCCTCTCTAAATGGTAACTATATTCTCCTAATTGCTAAGGCCCAAAACTGTAGCACCATCCTTGATTTTCCCTCTTTCTTTCTTACCCCATATCTAGTCTATCAGCAAATATCATTATTTTTACCTTTTAAAGAAATTGGAATTCGAACATTTTTCACAGCCAATTCTGCCACCACCCTAGGCCCAATCCACCATTATCTTTTGCCTGGATGATTGCAATAGCCTTCTAAATGGTTTCACCGCTCTTTCTCTTATCTAGTTCAGACTTTTCTTAATCTAGTAGTCAGAATAATCCTGTTAAAACACAAGTCAGTATTTGTCCATTTTCCACTCAAAATCCTGCAATGCTTCCCTGCCATGGTTTTACTGAGAGTAAAAAATTGTAAGTCACTGAACATGACTTAAAAAGCCTTACATGATCTGGCCCCCATTACCTCTCATACCTACCTCTCACTATTCTTTCCCCTTAACTCTGCTTCATCCACATTGGCCTCTTCTTTAGTATTATTATTTTAACAGACTTTATTTTTTAGAAAGGTTTTAGGTTCAAAGCAATACTGAGAGGAAAATACAGAGATTGCCCATATACTCAGAGTGGTGTGTTTGTTACTACTGATGAACCTACATTTGACACATCATTATCACTAAAACCTCGCAGTTTACATTAGGTTGTATAATGACATACACCCCCTATCAGTTTCATACAGAGTAGTTTCACTGCCCTAGAAATCCTCTGTACCCTGCCTATTCATCCCATCCTCCTCCCAATCCTTGCAAACACTGATCTTTTTACTATCTCCATAGTTTTGTCTTCCCATTACTTTTTTTAACACACTTCTTGTTCCTCATGTAAAATGTTCTTCTCACACATCTGTATAGATATCTCCCCCACTTTCTTCAGTCCTTACTGAGAAATCACCTTCTCAGTATAATTTTCCCTGGTTATTTCATTCATATATATATATATATATATATATATAATTTAATTTTCCCCCTCAAAGCTTCATAGCCCCCATCCATCTGCCTTACTTTTTGTTCTTAGAATTTATCACTACCTATATATTACCTATCCTATATCATTACCTATATATTCTGTATTTTACTTATTTCATTTATATTTTGCTTATAGTCTTTCACCATAATTAAAGGAAAGCTCCATAAGGAGAGAGAATTTTTATCTGTTCACTGTTATGCCTCCAGGGCCTACAGCAGTGCTTTCACATAGCAGGTTCTAAAAATTTTTGCTGAACGAACAGACCAAACTGAAATTAAACTTAGGCTTCCAGTATAAGTTGAGAATGACAATAACATACATTCAGTTACCTAAAACCTAGAAACTTGAGTATCACTGACAATTTCTCCTGCTTCTAATTTCTCATATCTGGTTATCATGTCATCCAGGTTCTGTCTTCTCGGTAGACCTTCTGAATCCATAAACTTCTCTCCATCTTCACTATCATATCTAAGGTCCAGCCACCTCATCTCTCACAGCTAGATTACTATCTGCAGTCTGCTCCTTCCAATCCATTCTCTAAACAGTAGCAAGAGTGGTCTTTCAAAAATATAAATATTGATATAATCATGCAATTTTCCTTCAATGGTCTTATGACTATTTTCCTTTCTAGTCTCATTTCTCACCACTCATCTTTCTTTTTATGCTTCCACCATAATGAACAGCTTTCATTTTCTGAATGTGCCATGCTACCCTTTTCCTCTAGATCTTGGCAAATTCTGCTAACCTTTGCCTGGACATTCTTCCACAGCTATATATTTCTTACATCTTTGGTCTTAACTCAGAAATAGTTTTGTCCAAAAAACCTAGACACACCAAAGTTATCTTTTGTGCCCCTTCTACGGGTGTTCCTATACTTATCCCATTTGCTTTCCTATGATGCTGTAATATAATTTTCTATTTACCAATCTTGACTTTGGTCTTCTTGAGAACTGGAATATGCTTATTGCCTATGTATCTCCAGTCCTTAACACCGAACAGGTATTCAATAAATAATTATTAGAGGAGTAAATAACTTGATTCTTACCTCTCTCTCCTGTTTTTTTCCAATTTGTCTTTCAAAATCATAATTTCTTTGTTGAGAGCAAGCTGCTGGCCTTCTGAATCATGTAGTTCTTTCTTCAGATTTTTAATTTCATTTGCATGTATTCCTTCTCTCTTGGACAATTCTTCTTCATAAAAGATACTTTTCTTTTCCAAATCAGTCTTTAGTTTGGTTATTTCTTGCTGATGTTCTATGCTGCATACTCCTGGTGAGTAACTAATTTGTTTTTGCTATAGAAGTAATAATAAAAGATTAATCTGTAAGAATAATAAAATATCAACTAATAACTCTTTCTACAATATAAAGAACTTAATATAACTGAATATTATTTTTGTACATTATTACATAAAAATAATACTTTCTTTATTCAGGCTATTAACCTTTTGCCTGCCATATGTTACCAATATTTTTCTAAGTGTGTATTCCTTTATTGCTGTATTTTACAGTCTTCTTCACACCAAGACTAAATATTTATCTGTATTTTCTGCTGGTACTTATATAATTATTTGTTTTACATTTAAATATCTAATTTATACATAATATTGCTGGTGTATGGAGTGAAGGAAAAATCTAACTGCATTCTATTTCTGATGTGGAACTAATAAAAGGTTATAAATACATTTGTGTCTTTAAAAGATTAAATTGGGGGAGGAGTGGCAGAGCTAGAATGCACAAAAAGGGAGAAAGAAGGCTTCTGCAGTGGTCCGGGGAGAAATGACAAAGGTCTAATCTAACATCTTTGTATCTATTCTAGAAAAACATGATACAGCTCTTCACATTTAGGTAGGGCTTTAAGAAGGGGAAATTTGGTTGAAAGACATCTTTTTAGAAATGAGGTTGAAATATACTCTTGGTATCAGTGAGAAAGGAAAGTGTAATGCCCAAAGGTTCTTCCAGGTAGTAGCTAAGGTAAACAGAAGCATACAGAGGTTATGACTATAAGATTTCCTGAGCTTTTTCCTGAGTAACTTTTCTATCACTTTGTTACATGCTATTTTCCCAGGTGATCCACAATAAAACTTTTAAAACCCAAACAACCTGTAAGTTTATGTTTAGTGACAACAAGGAATCAAGATCTGGAGGACACTGTAGCCTTTTTTGAAGTCAGTATTAAGGGCAGGAAAACTGGTAACCGTCCTTGATTTAAAGTCCAAAGAAAACTATGCTAGCTTCACATTTGAGGTCTATAATTAAAAAAAAAAAAAAAAAAAAAAGGCATCAATGTGGGCCTGAGAAATGTTTCTGGGATAGTCACTGTAATGTTAACCACTTACTCAAAACTGCTTATGAAGTGCCTACCATATGCAGGACCCAGATTTTCCAGTGGTTTCTGAGTCAGCCTGACATGCAAAGCTTGGCGGAAACTGGGAAGAGCCATGTCAAGTCATGTTCTTGCTCTTATGCAACTCCATGAAAATGATGCCTAAATCAACATCTGCAGCACTAACCACTTATCGTACTACTCTTTCATTTTTCTAATTACCTAAAGGACACTTTTAGTTTGCTGCTCACTTTAGTATAGTTTGTCTGTTGGGATAGCAGTAGATGTACTAGAAGTTTCAAGCAAAAATTACCTTGAAATCAAAACCTCACAAAGATACCACCAAAAAAAGTTATAGACTCATGTCACTAGTTGATAAGAATGTAAAAAAGCCAAATAAAATGCTGAGGAACAAAATTAAGCCACAGGTAAAAAAGAACAATCTACTGCAAAACAATAAGTTTTATTACAGGTATTGAAGGTAATTTAATATTCGCAAACATTAATAACTGTGCAAACTTAAATTAACTCCATGTGATAATCTCTGTAAGTACCCCTGCCCAAAAGTATTTGATAAAATCTAATACCAATTCCAAAATACTACCCCAAGTCCCACAAAAAAAAAAAAGAGTTCAGTAATTCTCTTAAGAAATAACCTCTTTCAAGCTATCAGACAAAATAATACTTTCTAGTGAAACACCAGATACATCCAGGAATAATAACAACAAAAAGGATGTCTTCCATTATCTCTCTTATTTAATATTAGATTTTAGATATTCTAAGTAACATGTGAAATAGTTACAAAACATGAATAGTTGAAAATCATGATCATTTCCATGTAATATAACTGTTCGCTCAGAAAATGCAACTAAATCCACTGCAAAGTGTTGGAATTGATAAAGCTGAGTAAAACAACTGCATATTAGATAAATATAAATCACACAGTACTTCTAGACAGTAGAATAAGCAATAATAGTAAAAATTTTCATTGTTAATAATAAAAAATTTTCATTTCTTTTTAATAGATCCAACAAAAATCACCAGCAACTAGCACACACACAAGTAATAACAACAGTGAATAATTTGTATGAATTATATGAAAAAACTACAAGTCTTTATAAAAGATTTAAAGAAGACAATATAGAAAAATACCAAGTACTTGAAAGGGAAGATTGAATGTACATCTATTCAATGTTTCTTAAATTACCTTCCCTGTAAATTTAATTTAAAAATTTTTAATGTGGGAGGTGATACTGGGTGAGAGATGGAGACAAATGTTCTAGCACACAGGCAAAAATAAACTGGTAAAAATACCAAAGAAAAACCTGAAAAAGAATGAAGAGTAAAGAAGGAGAGAGGGTAATGTTCTTTTCAGATGTTAACATATACTATAATTTTTTTAAAAAAATTTTTTGTCTGCATTGGGTCTTCGTTGCTGCACGCAGGCTTTCTCTAGTTGCAGGGAGTGGGGGCTACTCTTCATTGCGGTGCGCAGGCTTCTCATTGCAGTGGCTTCTTTTGTTGCAGAGCACAGACTCTAGGCGTGTGGGCTTCAGTAGTTGCAGCACACAGGCTCAGTAGTTGCGGCACGCGGGCCCTAGAGCACGCAGGCTTCAGTAGTTGTGGCGTGTGGGCTCAGTAGTTGTGGCGCACGGGCTCAGTAGTTGTGGCACATGGGCTTAGTTGCTCCGTGGCATGTGGGATCTTCCCAGACCAAGGACCAAACCCGTGTCCCCTGCATTGGCAGGCAGACTGTTTTTCTTTTCTAAATTTATTTATTTTTATTTATTTATTTTTGGCTGCCTTGGGTCTTCGTTGCTGCATGTGGGCTTTCTCTAGTTGCAGTGAGCAGGGGTTACTCTTCATTGCGGTGCGCGTGCTTCTCATTGCAGTGGCTTCTCTTGTTGTGGAGCACAGGCTCTAGGCACATGGGCTTCACTAGTTGTGGCACGCGGGCTCGGTAGTTATGGCTCACGAGCTCTAGAGCACAGGCTCAGTAGTTGAGGTGCACAGGCTTAGTTGCTCCACGGCATGTGGGATCTTCCCAGGCCAGGGATCAAACCTGTGTTCCCTGCACTGGCAGGCAGATTCTTAACCATTGTGCCACCAGGGAAGTCCCTACTATAAATCTTTAATAAAGTAATCAGTGTAGTAGATCTCCACCCCAAAATAATTTAATTCAATATGTGAGATACTGTCAATCGCTGAGGAAAGCAGTGATTAGTTAATGGAATTGAAACCACAAACTAGCAATTAAAGAAAAAAATGATTCTCACATCATACCATTTAGCAAAACAAACTCCAAATGGATTAGAACTAAATATCTTTAAACCCAAAAGAAACATCCAGGAAAAAGCAGAATTACATATTTAGCTCTGAAACTCTGTAAAAAGAAGGACAAGCCAAGTTTCGAAGCAATAGAAGAACTATTGAGGAAAATAAAAACAAACCATCTATAATTTGAAAAAGAAAAAAGACCAAAATTAAAGGGCAAATGATAAATTGGTAAAACAGTTGCAGAGAAGATAAACAGTACAATTTTTACTATGCAAAGAGTTTATAAGAATTGATAAGAAAAACATTAAGACTACAAAATTAAATGGGCAAATGACTTAAAGAGATAATTCACAAAGAGAAAATATGATTAATAAATGATCTACTAAGAAAGCAAGAAATGCCTCTCATACTTGCAAAAATTTGTGGCATGTATCAAGTGCCTTAAAAATGATCTGACCACTTCATTTCCAGGTATCTGTTCTAAAAGAAGTACATAAAAGCGTCCATGGCAATTATTATACTGCAAAAGTGAAAAATAAATACAGCCAGCTTGGGGGGATTGGTTCCAGGTCTGTCTACCCTCCATTACCAAAATCTACGATTGCTCAAGTCCCATATATAAAATGGAGTAGTATTCGCATATAACGTACTCTCAAATACTTTAAATCATCTACAAATGCTATGTAAAAGTTGCTAGGGCATGGCAAGTTCGAATTTTGCCTTTTGGAATTTTCTCCCCGACACCACCCCAAACGATGGGCTCTCTGTATCTGCAGATGTGGAAACTGTGGATATGAAGGGCCAAGTGTATTTAACAGTAGGAAACTGGCTAAGTGGATATTCTTCTATAATCATTAAAATTATGTTTGTGACAATCACATAATAATCAAACAGAGAAAAAGCTTATATCACACTCTCAAGTGAAATGTAAGGGTTAAGGGTTGAATTGTGTCCCTCCAAAATTCATATGTTGAAGCACTAAACACCAGTACCTCAGAATGTGACCATATTTAGAACTAGGGCTTTAAATACTGCATGATCTGACTTATGTGTGGAATCTAAAAAAGTCAAACACTTAGAAGCAGAGAGTAGAACAGTGGTTGCGAAGGGCTGAGGGGGTAGGGGAAATGGGGAAATGTTGGTCAAAAGGCACAAATTTCAGATATGTAGGATAAATAAATTCTAGAGATCTAATGTAAAGCAGGATAACTACAGTTAACAATACTGTACTGCATACTGGAAATTTGCTAAGAGAGTGGATCTTAAATATTCTTAGCCAAAAAATAAAGGAAGGAAGGAAGGAAGGGAGGGAGGGAGGGAGGGAGAGAGGGAAGATAGAAGGAAGGAGGTAACTGAGGTGACAGACACGTTAATTAACTTGATTGTGGTAAACATTTCACGATGTATACATATATCTAAATATCAGGTTTTACACCTTAAATACATATAATTTTAAATTGTCATTTGTACTTCAAAAAGCCTGAAAAAAAAAGAAAATGAAAATAGGGTCTTCACAGAGGTAATCAACTTAAAATGAGGTCATCAGTGTAGGCCCTAATCCAATATGACTGTATCCTTATAAATAGAAGAAATTTAGACTCAGAATCACGCACACATTGAGAACATCATATGAAGATTAAAGCAGAAATCAGGGTGATACATCTACAAACCAAGGAACGCTAAACACTGCCA